GGGCCGGTTCGGGGGGCTCAGCACAACGGGCAGAGGGGTTTGTGCCCCAGGAGGGGGGTCTGGGCTCGGGACCGCGGGCAGAGGGGTTTGTGCCCCAGGAGGGGGGTCTGGGCTCGGGACCGCGGGCAGAGGGGTCTGTGCTGCGGAGGGGGGTCCCGGTTCGGGGGGCTCAGCACCGCGGGCAGAGGGGCCTGTGTGCTCGCACAGAGGGGTCTGTGCCCCGCACAGGGTCGGTCTCGGCGGTCCAGCCCCCACCCCCGGGCCGGGGCCGCCCCAACTCATCGCACGAAATGCCCGGGCGGGAGGGGGGGGGCTGCGGTCACGTGATCGCGGCGTCACGTGACAGGGGCGAGGGTCAGCGTGAGGAGGCCGCTCTGACCCGCCCCCTCACTCGAGTTGGCCAATGGAAGCGGGGCAGACGGGTACGGTGGCCAATGAGGGGCGAGGGGCGGGGCTTGCTGCCAGCGGGGGGTGGGGCTTGCGGCCGGGACCGGGAGCGGGTACGGGCGGGGGGACTGGGAGCGCTGGGAGGTACTGGGGGGCACTGGGAGGTGCTGGGAGCACTGGGAGGAACTGGAGGTCTCGGGGAACACTGAGAGGCACTGGGAGAACTGGGAGGTACTGGGGCGGCACTGGGGTTCGCGGGGTCACTGGGAGGTGCTGGGAGAACTGCAAGGAGCTGGGATCGCTGGGATGTACTGGGAGGAACTGGGATCAGAGAGAGGCACTGGGGGTCAGGGGGGCAGCTGGGAGGCACTGGGAGTCTCGGGGGGCACTGGGAGTCTCGGGGGGCACTGGGAGGAACTGGGAGCACCCAGAGGTACTGGGAGTCACGGAGTCAGTGGGGAGGCGCTGGGAGGCACTGAAAGGTACTGCGAGGAACTGGGAGTCACGGGAGCCGCTGGGAGGTGCCGGGATCCCTGGGAGGTTCTGGGGATACTGGGAGGTTCCTAAGAGTCACGGGGGCCACTGGGAGGTACTGGCGGTGCTGGGAACGTTGGGAGCCGCTGGAAGTCACGGGAGACTGGGATTCCCCGGGAGTGATGCGGGGGAGGGGAGCGCTGGGAGTCCCGGGGGAGCGCTGGGAGGTACTGGGAGCACTGGGAGTCCCTTGGGGCACTGGGAGTCACGGGGTGCTCTGGGAGTCATGGGGTGCTCTGGGAGTCATGGGGGGGCACTGGGAGTCATGGGGGGGCACTGGGAACACTGGTCCGGTGCAGCGGGGGGGGGTGGGAACAGCCCAGCCCTGCCCGGGGGGGGTGTCCAGCGGTGGGGGGAGGGTCGTGCCGTGACACCCAGGGGCCCCCCCTGAGTGGGAGGCATCACCCCTCCGCCGTGGGGCTCAGGCATCCCCCCGTGACACACCTGGGGGGGGGGAAGGGTATGACCGCGCGGGGAAAGGGAAGTGAAAGTGATTGTGGAAGTGGGAAGGGGGGGCAGCGGGGGGGCCCATCCTGCACCGCAGGGAGATGTTATCGGGGTGCTGCGCCGCGGTTGGGGTGCCAGACACCGCAGTGTCCCCCCCGCTGGCTGTGGGGGCCCCCTAGCACCCCAGGTGCTCCCCCAGCACCCCGAGGTGCCCCCCCAGCACCCTGAGGTGTCCCCCGGGGTGGGGGGCTCTGGGTGAGGTGGCAGGGCTGAGGCTTTCCTGACACGTGGCTGAAAGAAGAAACGAGAGTTTGGGGGGCAGAGCCACCCCCCCTTCCCTGCTCGGTGAGAGGGGAAACTGAGTCCAGGTGGGTGTGGGGGGGGTCCCACAGGTGCCCCCGGAGCCATGAGGACCCTCGTGCTGCTGTGGGTGGCCCTGGCCGGAGCGGGGGCCCAGCTGCCATGTCCTGAGGGGGGGCCATGCCCCGTCACCCCGGTGAGTGTGCAGGGTTTGGGGGGAGGCACAGGGGGGTCCCCAGCAGGGGATAACCCCCCCGTGCCCCCTCCCCAGGCCCTGCCTGCCCGCAGCGCAGTGGGATGCCAGGATGGCTCATCCTGCCCTGCCAGCACCAGCTGCTCCCTGCCCGAGGTGAGACACCCCCCTACCAGTGCCTATTTTCCCCTCTCCCTGACATTTTTGGGGATTCCCTGACCCCCTTGTGTCCCCCCAGAGTGTCCCCTGTGCAGGGGGCCAGCGCTGCTGTCCCCGAGGGTCCCGCTGCGGCGCTGACGGGGAGTCCTGCATCCCAGACCCAGGTATGGGGGGGCCACGGGGGGATGGGGGGCCACAGGAGGGGACAGGAGGGACATGGGGTTCCTCACCGTGTCCCTGCAGCCCCCCGTGCTGTGCCCTGTCCCGACGGAACGTCCGAGTGTCCCGATGACGCCACGTGCTGTGTGACGGCCAGCGGCGCCTGGGGGTGCTGCCCTATGCCCCAGGTACGGCTGGGGGGGGACATGGGGACGCTTTGGGGGAGGACACGTGAGGCCATCGCCGTGATGAGTGTCCCTGGTGCCCGCAGGCCTCGTGCTGTGCCGACAAGGTGCACTGCTGTCCCCACGCCACCACCTGTGACCTGGCCCGCGGGCGCTGCCTGTCCCCCGGCGGTGACAGGGACGTCCCCCTGAGCACGGCCTTCCCCGCCTGGAAGCGCCAGCCCCCCGCCCCAGGTAAGGGGTGTCCCCCTCTCTGGGCGCCCTCGCTGTCCCCGTGGAGGGTACGCAGGGGTGGGGATGGGGTGTGGTGACCCGGTGGTGACACGGTGGTGACACGGTGGTGACACGGTGTGCCCCCCCTGCAGTGGAGCTGCGCCAGGTGCTGTGTCCCGGGGGCCGCTCGGCGTGTCCCGACGGAGCGACCTGCTGCCAGCTGTCCCCATCCGAGTATGGCTGCTGTCCCCTGCAGAATGTGAGTGCTGGCACCACCCTGGGCTGTACCCCATGATGGGCAGCCTGGGCCAAACCTCCTGTGCCGGGTACCCCAAACCAGGCACCCCTCACTGGGCACCCCAAAACAAGCACCCCGTGCCAGGCACCCCAATTCTGGGCACACTCAGCTTGGCACCCCAAACCAGGCAGTCTGGGCTGGGCACCCCACGCTGGGCAGCCTGTGCCAAACACCCCATGCCAGGCACCCCAAATGAAGAACTTGTCACGTAGGCACCCCAAACTGGGTGACCCAAACCAAGCACCCTGTGCTGGGCACCCCACACTGGGCAGCCTGTAACAAACACCCCAAACCAGGCACCCCAAAATAAGAACCCCTCACCAGGCAGCCTGTGCCTGGCACTCCAAACCAGGCACCCCAAAACAGGCACCCAACACCCACCAGTCACCCCATCCCAGGCCAGACAAGTATCCCATGCCAGATACCCTAATTCCAGGCACCCGACTCTGATCACCCCGTGCCCAGCACCCTGTACTGGCCCCCCCATGCCAGCTGCCCACATTGGGCACCCTGTGCTGTCAGCCCATACTGAGCACCCCATGTTGGGCACCCTGTTCTGAGCACCCCGTGCCATGTCCCCCATACCTGGCACCCTGTGCTGAGCACCCCACACCAGCCACCCCATGCTGAGCACCCCAGACTGGGCACGTGTATTGGGCACCCCACTCCAGGCACCTCGTGCCACGTCCCCCATATTGGGCACCCTCTGTGCCATGCCCCCCATGCCATGCACCCCCCAGCAGCCCCCCTGTCCCCAGTGTCCCTGTCACCCCTGTTCTCTCCCCCCAGGCCGTGTGCTGCAGTGACAGGCAGCACTGCTGTCCCCAGGGCACCACCTGTGACCTGGCCCGCTCCACCTGCACCTCCTTGGGGGGCTCCACGCCCCTGGCAGCGCTGCCCTCAGGTGAGACACCCCCCTCCCGAGGGCACCCTGTGCTGTCCTGGGGAGGGGACACCAGCTCTGAGTGTGCCCCTGTCCCCTGTCCCCAGCTGGTGAGGTCAAGTGTGACGAGGAGACGAGCTGCCCCGACGGGAACACGTGCTGCAGGCTCAGCTCGGGGGCCTGGGGGTGCTGCCCCCTCGAGCAGGTACAGAGGGTGGGGTTCTCCTGTGCCCCCTGCGACAGGCAGATGTCCCCTGTCCCCCTGGGTAGGATGAGGAGAGATGTCCCCTGTTCCCCTTGGAGGGACAAGGGTGGGGGTCCCCTGTGCCCCCCAGGACAGGCAGATCCTGTCCCCTGGGTGGGATGAGAGCAGATGTCCCCTGTCCTCCTGGAAGGGACAAGGGTGGGAATCCCTTCCACACCCCCCAGGACAAGGTTAGATGTCCCCTGTTCCCCCTGGAGGGACAAGGTGAGGGTTCCTTTTGCCCCCTGGGACAGGCAGATGTCCCCTGGGTACCATGAGGAGAGATGTCCCCTGTTCCCCTTGGAGGGACAAGGGTGGGGGGTCCCCTGTGCCCCCCGGGACAGGCAGATCCTGTCCGCTGGGTGGGATGAGGGCACATGTCCCCTGTACCTTGGGTGGGATGAGAGCAGATGTCCCCTGTCCCCCTGGAAGGGACAAGGGTGGGAATCCCTTCTACACCCCCCAGGACAAGGTTAGATGTCCCCTGTT